ACTGTCGTCGCGCTTGAAATGTGCCGCAATGTGCATTACGTAATCCCTCTGTTCGGAGTTCAATGAGCTGAGCACTTCTTCGAACTCTGAATTAGGAAGTTGATTTGGCAGCTGGAAATTCTCGAAGTACGGGTTCGTTCGTACATTCCGCTACCGATATGCACTTGTTTCTGTTCCTGATCAAGGTGATTGTTATCGAAGACAAAAGTTGGCGCAGTAACGCCGACCTCTTCCTCCACTTCGCGGTCTCGGGCTTCGTTTTGTGCTTGCTCCATCGCAGTCTCGAGAACATCGTTTGAGAAGTAGTGATACTGCTTCCTAATCCGCATAATTTCTTCGCGATGTGTGTTGTACAGCGTCTCACAGTCTGCGTCTATGCTCTGTTCTTCATTTCTCCACGGATGATATAGCATCACTGCTTCGCGATAAAACTACTCCGACTCTGTCTGGATGCTGTATATTCTGTAGCGGATTACTTTTGGTCAGGAACGTTTCCGAATAAATCCCCTGCTATCCATTAGACGTATAAATTGCCCTCTCGCTGCCCCACATTTTTTTCCTAAATCTGCACGTTTCTGTCTTACGTCTCCCGCACTTAGCAGCATGTTTGTGGTACTAAAATTTAGGATAAAGTGGACTGCGACAGAGTCCTTTTTGATCCTAACTGTCAATTGCAGAGGAGCATGCAACGAATCTGTCGATGAAACTGCATACATCACGTTCATTTTGACCACAGGCCGTGTCGAAAACCAGTTTCTTGCTAAAGTAAGAGTTAAAAGACGCGACTGGCATCGTAATTCCTAGCTTCTTAGATCCCCGAGTTATGACCTTACCCGAAAAAAATTTTGCCGGGCCCGTACGCGGGTACCACGCTTACCCGGGAGCTGGGTTTGAGCTCATTAACACCTACTTGGACGGGGAGCACTCCCTCAAAACTTCAGCTTTCTAGCTTTTCTGTTTCACCGGTTAGCGGCTTAGCCGTAAAAAACTTTCACAGACCCATACGTGGGTACCACGCGGGTAAGACCGCCCATTTTGGGGATGGGGGCCTGTACAGGCGTGTAGATTAAACTCCCAAAGTCAGCGCTGTAGTTTTTGTAGGTCTTGAGATGAAAAATCGGTACAGAGGCTCTGCGCACACACAGACACACACACAAAGACAGCCTCTCGTCAATATGCGTTTTTCACATTGCACTGCTGCAAAAAACGCATAAAAAATTGATGGCTTAAAAGGGAATTAAAGACTATCCTATAAGATGATGCACAGGTCTGGAGGGATTTGGGATATAAGGAAAGAGACGATAAGTAGAAATGATAAAGAGAATGGGAAATGCAGTAAAGGGGCTAAAAGGAGATAAGGGAAGAAATAATGGAAAACGTGAGAAGGTCTTGGGCGGATAAAAAAAGTGGATGAACGAAGAGTCCAGAACTGTATTTCTGAATTTAAAAAAATGAAAATAATACAATAACATGATTTTTTTTTATACTTTTCTTTGCCGCAACACTGGTGATCCACTTGAACACAACTTTTACTAAAATGGAAGTGAACGCTCAGAGCCAACTTCGTCATGCCTACTTCGAGAAAAAACACGGATCCATCCAAAAAACATGCGCGAGTC